CCTGTTGGCAACCTTCGTTTTGCTCCTCCTAAAGAAGCTAACTTATGGACTGGGCAATTTAACGCAACTCAGCGTTCAAACTCATGCTGGCAATACATATTCAGTGGTTTTGATTTGGCCAATCCTGCCGCACGAGTGTGGGTTAACAATACGAATATGAGTGAAGATTGTCTCTATCTCAACGTGTGGGTGCCTGCAAATAAATCTGCCAATGGGACTTTGCTATCTGCGAATAGGTCTAGCAATGGGAAGTTGCGTTCTGCAAATAGGCCTGCCAATGGGACGCTGCTGCCTGTGATGGTGTGGATTTTCGGAGGAGGCTTCTTCAGTGGAACGTCCACACTCGACGTCTACGATGGCAGGTTTCTTGCAGCTAAGGAGAACGTCATCGTGGTATCCATGCAGTACCGTTTGGGACCGTTTGGTTTCCTGTACGTGGATCCGGAGGTTCAAGGAAACATGGGTCTTTGGGATCAACACCTTGCCCTTCAGTGGGTTCAAAAGCACATTGTGAAATTCGGAGGTGATCCGACGAAGGTGACGCTGTTTGGAGAGTCAGCTGGTGCGGCGAGTGTCACGTTGCAGTACCTCTCACCCGAGTCTCGTCCGCTCTTCCAGCGCATGATTATTCAAAGTGCAAGCGCTCTCAACCGATGGGCACTGTCGACGAAATCGGTGGCTCACGATGCAGGTCTTGCAGTAAGTGAAATGCGGACATGAGAACAATGTAGCAGTGTAATGAAAAATAGCCAGCTGTTCTTCGGACAGCGACAGGACAGTCCGGTGTTGCCTTAATTCAGTCTGTGTTCACGAACATCACTGATTACTAGGCTATGTAGACCGACAAATAACTTATTGGTCCAAAATTGTTTAGAAAGTCACAATACTTAGTGCAGCTGTGGAACATTTTGCCACTGCCGTAGTTTAAGAATAGGGTATTTGCAAATTTGAGGGCCTCTGCAGTAGGTTTGAGTCGAACTTATGGCATTATTTAATGTGCTCTGTTCTAGTTCATCAAGACAAGCGACTGTTTCGGGAGTGGAAGGAATTTGAAGAAGGCAGTGGGATGCCTCAGAAAGCTGCCAGCTGAGACCCTGTTTGACAGACTGTATGAGCTGTCCATAGCATCAGCGGCTCGACGCGACAGTCGACTGGTATCGCTTGTTCCCACACAATGGCCAGCCAAATTCCTCCCCTCTGCTGCTCAGTACTTCGAGGTCATTATGCGTCCCGTGCTTGATGGTGATTTCTTACCGGATTGCCCAACAACCCTGCTCAAGTCCATTCAGGAGGGCGAGGCGCCAGAGGCCCTGGTCGGCAACGTGGACAAGGAGGGCATGTACTGGCTATTGTACGGTCTCGGAATAAGAGGCGTCGATTTCCTCAGTGATGAAGGCACCGTTACTCGCCCAACACTCGATCAGCTGAAAGCAGCCGAAATCGACTACTTCCAGCTAATCCAGATGCGGTTTATGAGTGTGGGTCATCTGGTTCCTGCATTTTCAGCAATGACAACAGCTCAATATGGGCTAAATAGCCCTTTCGTTAAACGAATCATGAACCATGACTTTGGTGTCCCCTTCAATGCAATTAGTAGCGAGGTGGACTTCCTCAACCGACTCGATGATTTGAGTGGAGAAATGGACTTTGTGTGTGGCACTCAACTGTTTGCCAAACTACTTGCAGCCATGAAGGGTGCGAAGGTGCAGTATTACAACTTCATGCACAAGACTGTGGGCAGTCAGTTTCCCGCGTGGGTGGGTGCGATGCATGGTTCCGAAATCGAGTACGTATTTGGCATGCCGTTTTCGAGTGAATTCCAAGCCAACTTCTACAAATTTACAGAAGACGAAAAGAATCTGAGTGCGAAAATGATGCGATACTGGGCAAACTTTGCGCGATCTGGGTAAGTGCAGAGTGAGTTCGGCTTGCATGTCGCTTAGTACCGCACCGAGACTTCTGCTAATAGTCTGGTATATTTACTGCAGGTATGAGTGCTTTGCGAGTGATTGAAGGAACGTTCTTGATGCCATCAACCGACATGCTAATTTGATCTCATGTGTTTTATTGCCTTATGCAGAAATGCAGCTATCAATCGTGACGGTACCGAATTTGGTCCTTCCTGGCCAGAGTTTGATGGGACAACTCAGAAGTACATGGAAATCGACTTGAAGCAACAGACAATGAAGCACCACCTTCGAAATAAGAGCTGCAACTTCTGGAACGACGACTTCCCCAGTATCGCAAGGGCTTACGTTAGTGCGACGCAACCCGATCGTTTAGGTGGAAGTATGCGGCCGAAGATTTGTCCTCACCTCGAATTTGACCTCTACGATGTGGAACCACTGGAAAACTTTGTGCATGGAGGTGCGTCGTGTTCACTATTAGAGGCCTGTCCATTACATGTCAAGTGTGCCGTTGAACGAACTGTTGGCAGACTCGTACCTGCCATAGACACACTAGCTACGTGACAGTGCGTGTAATATGACACCTAGTTAACGCAGTGCGCAACAACTACAACCCTCATCAGTGCATATTTGACGGGAAAGTAATAATGCAAATTTGCGTGGAATGCAACATTCAGCAAGTCTGTCTGCCGTTTGATTTGTTGCAATCGTGGATAGTAGATTTATGCTGTTATCATTTGTGCAGTAATTGTGCAAATAATCGGATTGCTGTGTGTTGGTTACACGAGGCTGCATATTGGCCTGTTTGACTTGGTTGAAAATACAATTGCAAAATCTTTTGTTTTAGCGGATGGTACACGTGCAAGCGGCGCCACGTTTCACTCAGCGTCCTCTTAGAAGCGTTTGACTCAAATGCTCGCGAATGTTGTATCCACCACGACGCCAGCATGTCCTGTTTCACTTGAACTTTCTCAACCATGTGTTTGCACCTGGTATCCCTCATCATCCTTTCCCACACCATTGAATTCAAACTTATCCATTTCCCCACGCACGATCCAATGCTGCATCATTTATTTGACTTTATGTGTTACAACAATTCGTTCAGACATTACTTTTGGTGTTGTGTAGGGATTTGGTTGTGGCGTGAGTCAGAGGCTGTGTGTTAAATGGTGAAAAGAGGCAACGACGAGTTGACCAGGACTGCACGCTTAGCCGCGTGGCATGATTTGTCAATGTGGTGTGTGTGTTGTGGGTGGGTGGGTGGGTGGACGTGAGTTTTGGGGTGACGACGTGATCACTGAGGCATTTCAGTGTGTGTGTGTGTGTGTTGCGATTCAAGGAACTGTAAATGGTGAGGCGGTAGTGGCTGGTTTTAACGAAAATCTGGAGATCAGCATGTAGTGACAGGCAACCACAGCCAACTACAGTCATCTGTTCACACGCGACTGCTTTCTCGTTACCACACGCTGTAAATTTACGTCTGAAATCTGAACATACCCTGTTCCTTATCTTCCAGTCATTATGAATCTGCATTTTGTTGAAGCGTTTTGGTTTATTTGGGGTTTTAATTGATGGCTACTGTTGTTGTGGCCAGACGCATTGGTTCATGTTGCGCTGTGTGGAATCTAATTGGTCATTAGAATGATTAAGCAAGTCAAATTCACAGAAATGTAACTTCGTCTGAGAATGTCCGTACAATATGCTTGCATTTCACAAAGCCATCTAAAGTAGTTCAACTCGTCCTTTGATGCCACAGCGTCATCGATGCATTTGTGTACACGTTGAAACCATTAAGAACTAAGGAAGCATGTGAATTTGCGGCACCCTAGCTCCCCAGTCCTCACCCCATGCTGTATCTGAATGTCGTGGCCAGAGTGGACGTGGACAAACGTTGTAATGCCTGTTAAGTGTCATAAATGTCGACACATGTCACAGTCAGATCCTAAGCCCTTCGTTGATGATGGTGGAGAGGTTTGCACGTTTACATCTTAAGCTGATTAACCGCGATCGCGCCTGAGTGAACCCTGGTTACTGAGGTGACAGTGATAATGACTCATCCGCTTTCCATTGGTTGCTGTTATCAGACGCTTGTCATCCGTTCACTCATCCACACCCTAACTCTCACACTTGGTTGGCGTGGCGCTAATAAACGGCCGCGTTCTCTGTCGCCTTTCTTCACTCAATTCTCGGGTTCTTACGGGCTGTTAACTAGTAGATACATTTTTAAAGTTGACTCCTACAGACAGATGTCAAGTGCAACACACTCTTAGGAAATTGGCATTTACTGATAAGGCCACTGTGCGAACTACATGGCAACTCGCGTTTGTTTAAGGTTGTTGCAGTGACTGGTTTTCGTTTCATCAGATGTTGACGTCTTTGGTTTGACCTGTGTTAAAATAGGTGGAAAATTCTTACGAGTAATCGCTGGCCCACTTAGAGTTGGGCTTTTCATGGGCCAAACCACACTGTGGCTTTGTTGAAACTGGATATTTTACATGTCTGACCGTCAATGTCGTGACTCTGTGCATACGATCTCTTTTAAAAATCAAAATTGGTTGCTTTGCTTGAGGAAGACTTTAAGATCTAGATCCAGTTTTTGTAGCAATGACATGAATGTTCTGCTTTATTTATCAAATTTCATTTTCTCTTAGAATCACCGTTTCATGTTGCGCTGTGTGGAACATAAGCAACACACATTTTGACGAAGTGACATGGAGCCAGTAAACTGGAGTATAACGTGTTTTTTTAAACGAATCGCCGAAATTGCTGTTACATCTGCGACGAGTAATCACACTGAATGCACAACCAACTGGTGTGGATAAGCAACTTGCGTGTTGACCACCAATCTGACACAGCGCCAGATGAGTCCGAATTTGCGTGTAAGCTCAAGAACATTCGAAACGACGACCCTGGTTAACGTCGTGTAAAGGCCACCACCAATCTGTTAGGCAGAAATCCTTAAATTGTTTTGCAGCTTTGAATTGCCCACATGAAACCCACCTTCTGCCATCAACCTCAGCTAGTTGTACTACAAACAACCCACGGATTCAAATCATCTAGTTTCTCAATCCTACCGAATCACTGTCGATCATTTGACTGAACATTAATGCGCATTTCGAACAATCTGATATTGCGCTGTGAGCGGATGGAAGAAAGTTGCCCTACTCCGCATGACCGACTTCTTGGCAACCTGGCTAATTGCTATGATCTTCATTGTTTGGTGACCACAATTTTTTCGGGACACTGCAGCTTCGGTGATTGAATTGCTCTGGCTATCTTTAAAATTGGCGTTCAGGTGTTATGCATAAATCAGGTATTCTATGCCTTGTGATGGGCATTCTGAGCAAAAGAGACTTGAGCGAAGTCACGTCAAACACACGACTAGATCATGTCCCAGGTTGGATGACATGTCAGCATCGGAGATTTCCTGTCATAATCCAGTGTGGTTAGTCGTGGAATTTAGGGGTGCAAAAATGTGTGATAATGGAAACTGCACAGAAATGCATTTTAACACCATGTTTGATTGCAAAGTTACAAGGCAAACACCCAAGATAGTGTCAAGTAGAAGACTGTTCGCGAGAAGTACTGCAAGTGGTCACTTTCGTTGTTGAAGTCGCTCAAGTTTGCAGAAGTCTCCAATCGACTACACGATTACTTACAACTTACCACACGCGGAAATGTGAATAATTTGAATGCGCCAATCATTTGTATTATCTTGTGATTCAGGTTGGTGTTTGTTGTGGTATCTTGGCTCCTTTAATAAATGGCCTTCTCTGCGCACGTTGGTAATCTAACTATCGGTCCTGTTGGTCCTATCATGGTTTGCAACCGTGTGTCAGCATTTCAACCGCATTCAAAGAGGTCCAACGAACACGTCTTTCTAACTTAAAGCACGCACACAATTTGCCGAAGTACGAATAAAATTACTAGCCACTGACAACAATTCAGTAACAGATTGTAAATAGCGTAGATCGGCAGTGTGACAAGCAGTTACACAGGAGCGCGTGTTGTCAACACCACATGAATTTGCAAATTTGCAGTTTTTGATCACGACACAAGTAGTTCTGCATCAAAGCGAGGCCACCTCAAACAACACCACTAGTGCACAGCCTTAGGCATCATGTTAGCCACTTCCTACTGCTTTAACCACTTGCTTCAATCGTCTGCAAACATTATGGTCAATTAGGTTTTTTTTAGTTTTGGCTATAAATCTAGTGATATTTGTGCAAGGTAAGTGTCAGTAAACATGACACAAAATCAAAAACCATGTATTGCATTCTAGGTGAGTATTAATCGTCGAATAGATGCTTAATAATCGATGGTCAGTAAAATTAACTGAAGACTAGCAACACTTGACACAAAATCGTTGAATCTTTGGATTAGTTGCACCAATATCCCACAATCAAGATATGCTGTTTAGTTAAATACGAATGGATTGTGTTTGGAAGCAAAGGCATATTGCTTAATATCAACGAGTAGGAGGTAGCAAAATGGTTAGGTGGTAGATTGTGGCTGTATCTTTCTAAAGCCTTTTTTGTTAATCTAGCGTGCAATAGGATTCTTGAGAACACAAGTGCAATTTTGTGTCTGGAATTTTAGTTAAAGTAGGAAACTATGGGGTGTCAAGGCGGCGTAGGTGAATTGCCTCGAATGTGAACTAATAGCTTAACTTATACTTGTTTTTCACCATTGTCATATTCGTTTGCTTCTATTCTGAAATGGTTGATGCAGCACGGTGATCGACGCATTACTCTATGCGTCACACCCTTGGATTGCCTGTATTGGTCTTTATGTGACGCATGGCTGTCAGATAAGACAGAACAGGTGCTGGGGATCCACGATTCCCAAGTTTGCTCGTCGTTTGTTTCTGGTGCTATTTATCCTAATTTAGTGACGTGTGGTTTGTTACGCTTTTTATCAAGTCAAGGTCAACCCTGACTTGAATTAGTTCCGTTTTCAACACTCCTCTCTGCACGTGGCTAACGTGAATAAAGCTCTCTACACGAGCTCTAGTCTTGTTCTTGTATTAGCCTGGGAAGGTCGGTTCTAGCTTCATCTAGGGATCTGGTACCGTTATTTGAGTGGTTTTCTCTTTTTGTTACGGGCAAGCGTAACAGCAGGTCAAATAACTTTGTCCTCGGAGGCGTTTGTAAAGCCACAATTCTTATTGAGAAACCACTTGAAATTTTCAATTTTATTTGCACGATGCGAAACATGACCATTCACTGAGCTCGTTAATCCCACTCTTTTAATTAATGTGTTAGCATGCTGTTTGAGTGGCACCTGGCTGCTTTTACGAGCTATACTTTTTGCAGCTTGCATAATGTCACACATGTAGTATTTTGTAATTAAAAATGTTCGCCCAATTTTATCTCAGTAACTACCAAGGTAATTTGGTTGTAAGATTAAACTGCAAGGTGCACATTTAAGCATTGAGCAGTACAAGCCACTTGCATGTTCTTGTCTTAAGTGTAAGCCTACTGCCTGATGTAACTAATTTGCAGTACGATTTAACGCCACATTCATTTCTGCTAGATACGTAATGCGTTTTTCTTGGATGCTGTACCAACTACGAGGCGTTGATGTTGTATCTAGCCCACATAACGAGTATTGCGCTAAATTGGATGTCCTTGCGCTTAATCAGACTAACACTAATGTTTTGCATAATGGACGTCTTTGCTGAGGCCCTCAAATGAACGTTAGC